TAGTAGTACACAAAATTAAAATATATAACTAATTAAAATATATGTAAAAGCTGATAAAAACATATATTTTCTACTAAAAAACATTTAAAAGAAACGATAATATTTCAGTTTTGTAGAACTTAAAAAATACTAATAGAAAACATGACAAACAAGGCATTTTATTTAGTGAGACATTTTTACAGCACACTTCCGATAAGGAAAGTAAATAAACATGTTTTAAAACAAAAGTAAATTTGAACTATTTTAAATATGACAGGAAATCAAGAAAAATAAGTCTATTTATAATTGCTTAATTATGGTTAATTTAGCACTTTTTTCATTACAAAAATCGTAAGAAACTATTAATAGTTTATCAAGCGTTTATGAATAGGGGTGAGATTTTCAAATTTTAAACTAATTTCCTTTAAACTAGTAGAACAATTAAGTCTGAATATAAGATGCTTGAAAACTTTCATGCTAAACAAATCAAAAACATTTTAAGAACGAATAAAAAGCGTAAGTGTTTTCAAGTACGAGTGTGCTAATCATCTTAAGAACCAACGATTTACAAAGAAAATTCTTTCCAAAACAACCCAACAACAAAAAGACACACACACACACAAACAAAATGTTTGAAAAGGCAAAAATAAAAAAAAATGTAGAAAAAATTTGGAAAACCTCCCAAAAATAAAGAAAAACTGAACAATAGAACAAATCATTTCAAGTGAGTGTAAAAAAAGAAAAAGAAATATGTCTGAATTATTCGAACATTTTTTTTATGTCAATAGGATAAAGAGAAAATTTTCTAAGATACAATATAAACATAATGCTTAAACTAAATATACTGCATGTATAAGTATGATTTTGAAAATATATTTTTATATTAATTTCTATGTTCACAATAAATAGGTCAACAACAATAAAAGGGCATTAGAACAACTTGTATAACAATCAAATCATGTCAAAAATATACAAATGGAACAAAGTTGTACATTTTTTTTAAAGAAATTTAATAGAAAAGTACTTTCTATTAAAATTAAAACAAAATGGATTTTTATTTTATTAAGTTTAATAATATTATTTCATAACATATACCATTATTATGAATTCAAGGTCACTGTTCTGATAAGATCTTGGCGGAAATGAATGTGGTTTAAAAATACAATACATTTGTATAAAATAAGTATAAAACTTTTTTTAAAGGCAGTTCCATTTAAAAATATGTAGTTTTATACTTATTTTAAAAATTAAGAATCAAAATAAACAAAAATATCATTGAAGTAAATAAAAATTATTCTGCAATTTATTTAATAAATAACAAAAATAAACATAAATATTTGCTGAAACACAAATATTTGTTCATAACTCGTCATTTAAGATTTTTTTCTAATTTAAGTTTGACTTTATCTCGCTCATACGTAATATTAAAAAAAACTGTTAAACAATATTGAAATATTGATTTCCGAAGTTATTTGTTTAGGAATCGAAAATTCCCTATAATGTTTTAATTCGTTCACAAGGATCTGGCAAAATGGCCTTTGATACGTTTGTCTTTTGAAGCGACAATGGTATTCTGGTCTATAGTCTAGTCTATAGTCTAGTCTATAGTCTAGTCTATAGTCTAGTCTAGAGTCTAGTCTATACTCTAGTCTAGAGTCTAGTCTATACTCTAGTCTATACTCTAGTCTATAGTCTAGTCTATAGTCTAGTCTATAGTCTAGTCTATAGTCTAGTCATAGTCTAGTCTATAGTCTAGTCTATAGTCTAGTCTATAGTCTAGTCTAGTCTAGTCTATAGTCTAGTCTATAGTCTAGTCTATAGTCTAGTCTATATCTAGTCATAGTCTAGTCTATAGTCTAGTCTATAGTCTAGTCTATAGTCTAGTCTATAGTCTAGTCTATAGTCTAGTCTATAGTCTAGTCTATAGTCTAGTCTATAGTCTAGTCTATAGTCTAGTCTATAGTCTAGTCTATAGTCTAGTCTATAGTCTAGTCTATAGTCTAGTCTATAGTCTAGTCTATAGTCTAGTCTATAGTCTAGTCTATAGTCTAGTCTATAGTCTAGTCTATAGTCTAGTCTATAGTCTAGTCTATAGTCTAGTCTATAGTCTAGTCTATAGTCTAGTCTATAGTCTAGTCTATAGTCTAGTCTATAGTCTAGTCTATAGTCTAGTCTATAGTCTAGTTGTCTAGTCTATAGTCATAGTCTATAGTCTAGTCTATAGTCTAGTCTAGTCTAGTCGAGTCTAGTCTAGTCTAGTCTAGTCTAGTCTATAGTCTAGTCTATAGTCTAGTCTATAGTCTAGTCTATGGTTTAGTCTATAGTCTACTTATAGTCTACTCTACAGCCTAGCCTATAGACTATAGACGAGACTATAGTCTAAAACTATAGTCTATAGTCTGGTCTATATACTAGACTATTCTGCGTTATAAACAACATTTGCTGTTCAAATTACTTCACCATAAATTTAAATCAGAAATTTTAGAACATGTTTCCTAATCTCCAGACTGCTGTTAAGATTTTAATATCATAAATCATAACACTTTTCGTTCCATAACGCTTAAACTTACCTTCCGATGATTATAATAGTGTAGGCGGAATACAGTAATTAGCATGACCCGTACTGCCTGTTAAACCAGGAAGTTGTTAACGGCAAAATACTCTCCGGCCTCCAGTTGAGTTTTAAAAACTATAATGAACAACTGACTAAGTGGATGGATGACAGGAGAAAATCACAGCAAACAGCAGCAAAACAAATTCAAACTTCAAACAAAATTCTAGGTTTTCAAATAAGAAAAAGAAATCGCAGCCGACACTTTAAAACTTGTTGTTGTTGTCAGGGCAACAGCGAAAAAAAAATCTAGTTTGTTTGTTCTTGTTGTTTATAGAATAAACATTATTTCTTTACACTTTTTGTACTTTCTTAAAAAAACATAAACAATTATAGTAATTTATTGATAAGCTTAAACACATTTTTATTTGTTATTTAAATAAATTTTTCATACATATAATTTTAATGTGTTTCTTTAGTTCCCCTTTTTACGTCTGCGGTATTTTATTTACTTATTTTTTGCAAAGAAATATGTGACACACACGCACGCACCCATACTTTTGAATATAAACTTTCACATCACTTTTATATTTAAAAAAAAAGAAGAAAAAAACTTTTGCTTAAATTTTACCACAAGTTGTATTGCACTTTCAGCGAATTTCTTCTTTTTCTTATATTTAGCTGATATTTCTGTGGTTTAATTAGTTGTTGTTTTTGTTTTAATAATTGGTTAAATAAAATATTTATTTCTTTTGCACTTTTTACAAATCCCAAGTGTAGTTTTTCTTACATCGATTTTGGGAGACGAAAAAAAACAACTGACTACAGTTTGACAGTTCTATTTATTAAGAGAATCAATATGCACAAAACAACAGGCAATTTTTGACAGCTTTGTGGAAGTATAAAAATGTTGCCTGTGGTTGTTGTAAATATTTGTTGTCACTCTCAATTAGTCAAAAAAATCATAATTATATTCACAATAACGAGGCAGTGATACCAAGTTTGCGCAATTTTAAACAAACTTGGCATACCTTTCTCATTTAATTGTGATTTTTTCTTAGCCCAGTAGATTTTGCTTAGTTTGTAATGATTAAAAATTACATTTTGAACCGATTTTAATAATTTTCAATCGCAAAAATCCCTGGGTGGTAAAAAAGTCTGATGAAAATTGTTGAACTAGCTGCTATGGTTTCTGAAAAAACGAATCAAGAATGGAATATTGCGTTGTTTTGTAATTTTCCTGCATTATTTATGTACCGGTTTTGCTGGATTTAAATAAGAAACTAGAATAATTGAAGATTAAGATCCCGAAGATATCGGACGCTTGGATATAGCTTAATCGACTCAGTTATCTTTAAAGATTCAGGGAATAAACCTTCATTGCTGAAGCAAATGGTAATATTTGTTTGTTTATTTGCTGTACAGCCTTCTGCCGGGAGCATGATGAAAGAGAAAGAATCTCTTTTGAGATGTATCGGTTTCCTAAAATTGTGTGCAGACAGTACACAACAATTTTTGCACTCCTATACATAGAATTATCAACCAACTTATACTATACTATTTAACATACTCACGATTAGGGTTCTATAAATCGACTTTCGAATAATCGAACAATCGTCTTTTTGTCGAAAAAAGTCGAAAAGTCGAAGTCGACTATTTTGTTCCAAAAAAGTCGATAACTCGACTATCGTCTATGAAAAAAGTCGAAAAGTCGACTTTGTAAATAAAAGTCGAAAAGTCAAAAAATCGGAAAGTCGAAAAAAGTCGAAAAAAGTTGAAAAGTCGAAAAAAGTCGATAAGTCGAAAAAAGTCGAAGAAAGTCGAAAAAAGTCGAAAAGTCGGAAAAAGTCGAAAAGTCGGAAAAAGTCGAAAAGTCGAAAAAAGTCGGAAAAAGTCGAAAATTCGAAAAGAGAAAAAACTCTAAAATAGTCGAAAAACTCGAAAAAAGTAAAAAAATAATCGAAAAAAGTCGAAATAAATCGAAAATAGTCAAAAAGTCGGAAAAAGTCGAAAAGTCGACCATTTATAAAATACTAAAAGTCGAAAGGTCTAAAAGTCGACTTTTAAATAAATGAAAAAGGTCGAAAAATCGACTTTTCATAAAATGGAAAAAGTCGAAAGGTCGAAAAGTCGACTTTTAACTAAATGCAAAAAGTCGAAAAGTCGACTTTTCGTTTCAACTATAGAACCCTACTCACGATAGCAAAGGAGAGTAATGATCAACTTTTAACTTGTACCTTAATTTATTCATCGTGTATTCTTTACAATTCTGGCAACATTTTTTTAAAATTAAACTTTCTTTGAACTACCCTGTAAACGAATATTTCAAAATAAACTGAATTAATTAAGATTTTAGGTGCAACACAGCTGTTTATACAAACAGAAGTCTTGAGTGTCAAATTACATATATAAAAAACAATTTCTTCAAAGATTAACTGTCAACAATGAATTCGCCCTTGTCAACACCTTACAACATTCGCAATGACGCCAAAAACTGAAATATTTTTGTGCGTTTTTGCAAAACAAACTATTTTTGTATAAGAATTATAAAATTTTCTTAAATTTTGATAATTATAAAAAGATCAAATAAGATAGAAAGTGTTTTAAATAATTTAATAAACAAACAATGTGAACACAATATCAGAAACTATAAGAAAACCAACTTTAAAATAAAGTCTATAGGAATTTTAAAACTGCAACACCATGACCACTAAGAATATTCCTGTTTCGTTTGAATTTTTCAAAAAATACACCTACCATGAAGAATGGGTTGAAAGAATGCTGAAAGTCAAGGCGAATGGTCATCAAGAAACCTTTGAAGCACTGCTAAGTAGCGAGGAATCGAAGGAGAAAGCCCTCAGATCATATTATGAAGCCTTCTATTTAAAACCACAAATTAGAGAAAAATCACACATACGTTTAAAGGCAGTACCCAAGAAAATTAAAGATAAATTATTAGCAATACCAGTGCAGGACGCTAGTATCGAAAATGGAGCAGTGATTTGTGATAACAACGAAGAAATGCAAGATGCCGGTGGTGGGGAAATTGTGGAAGAGCAGTTAAAAGATGGGAAAGGAAGTAAATCTAAAAAGGAGAAACTTAAACAAAGAATTTTAATGACTGCAAGAGATGTTTGTGATGTAGATGATGGACAGGTGGTGGAAGATGACAGTGAACGTAAGTAGTTGCAGAGAGATGTTATTGTAAAGACTATAGACTAGACTATAGACTTGACTATAGACTAGACTATAGACTTGACTATAGACTAGACTATAGACTTGACTATAGACTAGACTATAGACTAGAATATAGACTAGACTGTAGACTAGACTATAGACTAGACTAGACTATAGACTAGACTATAGGCTAGACTATAGACTAGACTATAGACTAGACTATAGGCTAGACTATAGACTAGACTGTAGACTGGACTACAGACAAGACTATAGACTAGAGTAGACTACAGGTTAGACTACAGACTAGACTATAGACTAGACTATAGGCTAGACTATAGACTAGACTGTAGATTAGACTATAGACTAGACTATATACTAGACTATAGACTAGACTATATACTATACTATAGATTAGACTATATACTATACTATAGACTAGTCTTTAGACTAGACTATATACTATACTATAGACTAGTCTTTAGACTAGACTATAGACTAAACTATAGACTAGACTATAGACTAGACTATAGACTAGACTATAGACTAGACTATAGACTAGACTATAGACTAGACTATAGACTAGACTATAGACTAGACTATAGACTAGACTATAGACTAGACTATAGACTAGACTATAGACTAGACTATAGACTAGACTATAGACTAGACTATAGACTAGACTATAGACTAGACTATAGACTAGACTATAAACTAGACTATAGACTAGACTATAGACTAGACTATAGACTAGACTATAGACTAGACTATAGACTAGACTATAGACTAGACTATAGACTAGACTATAGACTAGACTAGACTAGACTATAACTAGACTATAGACTAGACTATAGACTAGACTATAGACTACACTATAGACTAGACTATAGACTAGACTATAGACTAGATTATAGACTAGACTATAGACTAGACTATAGACTAGATTATAGACTAGACTATAGACTAGATTATAGATTATACTATAGACTAGATTAATTATTATAACTACTTTTACAGCACTTGGTTCACCAGATATTAGTTCAATTCCAAAGCTGTCGGTTGCCAAGGGCAAAGCTAATTCACCTCTTAAAGTGCAAGGCAAAGAACTACTTGTAGCTGCTCCATCCAAAGGTTTGACAAATATTTCATTGAATTAAAAATTTGATAAAATTTTTAAAATGAATACAAAATTATCTTTCAGCTTCAACTTCTTCTGACAGCAACAATACAACAATTTTAAAACCGGTTATTGGCAAAATTGCTGAAACTACTAATAAAAAAATTATTAAACAACAAGGAGCAGCTACGACTAAAGGTAAGAAAAACTATTTTTAAAAGTTTTAAAGAAGATTTCAAACAATTATTATTTTATAGTCTTAACTGATAAACAAACCGAAATAATGGACACTAACAACAACAATAATAAGCCATTAATTGCTAATACAGGTAATATAAATCTTTAAAATTTAAAATATTTCTTAATTTACACGATTTTCTTTGTATATTTTAAGAATCCAACAAATTCCCTCCCTCAGTTAATGCAGATAATGGGAAACATTTTAACTATAAAGACTTGGTGCCATATATACATTGTTGTCCCTTAACGTTAAAGGAATTTCGTAAATATAGTAATATCAAACAATTGGCTAAAGAGTTATGCAAAACGAAACATATGGATGATAAGCATCAACGCGTAATAGAACAACGTTCGTATATATTATTTTATTTGGCACCAGAACATCGAAAAATTACACCACTTAATAAGATACAAATGTTAGACAATTGTCCGGAAGATATAAAAAGTAAATTTTTTGTTATCCCCAATAATCTTTACTTAAAGAAACAGGATTTAGATAAAACCCAGGAAAATATAGAATCAAAATCTGTTAATGAAGTGGAAAGTGTTAGAAATAAAGAAGAACAACTAGCAGCTACAGTTGTAAAAGCTGTCAATAGTGTAAAGGAATCAAATATAAATCAAAAGGCTACCACTAGCAGTCAGCCAGCAGAAAGCGCTAATGAAATACCACCATCTGTTGATGTTCCTGTGGTGGTAAATGAAAATCAACAAATAATACCTGAACACATTAATGAAACAAATCAACCACCAATTATATCCTGTTCTACGGCTCAAACAACTGATGCGATTATACATTTACCCGTTTCTTTGGAGGAATTTAAAAAACGTACACATTTTGAAGAAGTTGTGGAAAAATTATTTAAAATAAAAGCTCAAGATAATGAAGAATTATTTAATAAATATAAAAATTCTCAGGAAGCTTTTAACACTACTATTTTCAATTATTATCAAGCTTTTTATTTAATACCTACCATACGTGAAACGTTTCCCATACGTTTTAAACCTATGCCAAGTTCTTTAAAAAATCGTCTGCTACAAATACCGGAAGGTATAAATAGGACATCATTGAATAATTTTAGAATAGAGGATGTTGTTTCGGTGGAATTTAATGCTGCTGCTGAGGTTGAAAAGGAGGCAGTAACAGCTGGCCGAGAAGAGACAGCGAAAGGCAAGTTTTATTTTTATTAGAGAAGAAACAAAAAGGCCCAGATCTAGTCTGTGGCCTTGACTATGCTCTAATCTATTGACTGGACTATAGTTGTAGTTTAGAGACTAGACTAGACTGTGAAAAAGACTATTAACTAATCTGTTAACTAGTCTATGGACTAGCATATGAATAAGTTTACTGATTATTCTCTCGACTAATCTATTGAGTTTTCTATGGTCTAGTTTATTGACTAGTTATTTGTCTAGCCTATAGTCTAGTCTACTGACTATCTTATTGTGTAGTATATTGACTAGTCTATTGTTGACTAGTTGACTAGTCCATTGTTTAGTCTGTTGACTAACCAATAGTATTTTCTATTGACTAGCCTATTGGCTAGTCTATTGACTATTCAATTATATAGTCTATTGACTTACCTATTGTTCAGTCTATCGACTGGCCTATTGTCTAGTCTATCGACTAGCCTATTATCTAGTATAGTGACTAGCCTATTGTCTTGTGTATTGACTAGCCTATTGTATAGTCTATTAACTAGCCTATTGTTTAGTCGATTGACTAGTCTATTGACTAGTCTATTGACTAGCCTATTGTCTAGTCTATTGACTAGTCTATTGTCTAGTCTATTGACTAGGCTATTGTCTAGTCTGTTGACTAGCCTATTGACTAGACTATTCTCTAGTCTATTAACTAGCCTATTGTTTAGTCTATTGACTAGCCTATTGTCTAGTCTATTGACTATCCTATTGTCTAGTCTATTGACTATCCTATTGTCTAGTCTATTGACTATCCCATTGTCTAGTCTATTGACTAACCTATTGCCTAGTCTATGTACTAGTCTATTGTCTAGGCTGTTGACTACTCTATTGTCCTGTTTATTGCCTAGTCTATCTACTAACCTATTATATAGTCTATTGGCTAGCCTATTATCTAGTCTATTGACTAGCATATTGACTAGCCTATTGACTAGTCTATTGCCTAGACTATTCTCTAGTCTATTGACTAGCCTATTGCTTAATCTATTGACTAGCCTATTGTCTAGTCTATTGACTAGCATATTGTCTAGTCTATTGACTAGTCTTTTATTTATATATTCGACTCGTTTTAATAATTTATATTTTTAGCCTTAAACAACTCTAATACATCTCAATCGTCACCTACAAACACATCCATCATCACCATAAAAACAGAAAAGGATACTGAAAGTTCGGATTCAGACAGCAAAACAAACTCACCTTCTTCTAGTAGCACAAAAAGAACCACAACTGAGGATATGAAATCTCCCTTAGCAAAACGTCAAAAAAGTAAATATCTATTTACAAATTTTTTTAAATATATTTTGAACAAACTTTTCCCCTTTTACAGCACAAGAAACTCAAGATAACACGGAAAATACTGAAAAAGCAAAAAAATCTTATAAAGAATTATTACCCTATGCCCACTGTTGTCCCATATCCTTCTCAGATTTTCGCAAATATACCAATGTCTCAGAATTATTCGCTGGTTATTGTCAAAAACGTTATAATAGTCTTAAAAAATTACCCTATATGTTACAACGTGCCTATGTTTTATATTATTTAGCTCCTGAAAATAGAAATTTTAAACCTTTTTGCAAGTTAATAACATTAGATGAATGTCCGGCAGATTTAAAAGAAAAAATGCATCAAATACCAGATAAACTCTATCTAAAAGGAGAAAATGCTACACAACAAATGGATATAGATGAAATGCAAACTGAAAAGTTTAAAGAAAATCAATCAGAAAATTTTAATCCCGAACAAACAGCTATAAAGCCAAATAATAATAGAAATTCTATAGAGATATTAGAAAATCGTTTATTGCCTCCCACACAGATACCATTTACAGGACAAGTTAATGTGGCCAGGTAATGTTATTAAACTTATTTTAAATTTTAACAGTTTCTTAATTTATTCTGAATTCTTATATTCTTCTATAGTCAATGTCTTAATAACAATTGCGTTTTTCATTACATCACGCATGTGGACTTTACTCAGCTTTCAAATATTTTATATATCTTACGTGAACCATCTGAAATCGCAATAATACAAAGTTTCAAAATATTTGTTTATCGTTTACTTAAAGAGCAGAGTTGCGATGTAGAATATAATATTAGCGCATCTTTATTGTGTAAACTTTTTAAATACAACAAAATATGTGAAAAATGTGAAAATGATATAAGGGCTCTTTTTCACCAGGATTCAATAACAGCATGCAATGAATCGGCAAAGGAAAGGTAGGTATTCTTATAACTATTATTATGGTCTTGATAAAATAATAATTTAAAAAAAAAATTTTCTATTTAGTAGTCCTACAAGTGCTCCTAACAATGAAGCTGTTAGTGAAAGAAGTGAATCGAATAATGAAAGGTAAGAGAGTTTAATACATAGTTAGGGCACAACATGGCACTTAAGAAACTTAATGACCAATTCCAGCTCTCCGCTTTTTAAATCGGAAAAATGGCTTTAATGATTTTATTAATTTATATGTTTTTTTTTTTTTTGTTGTGGCTCATAACTTTTCTCTTTATTTTATTGTTTTATAGAATAGAAACTAACCAGGAAGAAGCAACAGTTGAAATGGAATCAACTGAATCTCAGACAGTTAATAAAGGGTATGTTTTTATAAATGTATAGCTTTTTTTAAAGAACCCAAGCATTTAGTCTGCACCAGTTCTGGCCTGAACTATAGACTAGACTAAAGACCAGACTATATTCTAGACTATAGACTAGAGTGTAGATTAGACTATAAACTAGACTGCAGACTAGACCACAGACAAGTCTATAGTCTAGTCTATAGTCTAGTCTATAGTCTAGTCTATAGTCTAGTCTATAGTCTAGTCTATAGTCTAGTCTATAGTCTAGTCTATAGTCTAGTCTATAGTCTAGTCTATAGTCTAGTCTATAGTCTAGTCTATAGTCTAGTCTATAGTCTAGTCTATAGTCTAGTCTATAGTCTAGTCTATAGTCCTAGTCTATAGCTAGTCTAGTCTATAGTCTAGTCTATAGTCTAGTCTATTAGTCTAGTCTATAGTCTAGTCTATAGTCTAGTCTATAGTCTAGTCTATAGTCTAGTCTATAGTCTAGTCTATAGTCTAGTCTATAGTCTAGTCTATAGTCTAGTCTATAGTCTAGTCTATAGTCCTAGTCTATAGTCTAGTCTATAGTCTAGTCTATAGTCTAGTCTATAGTCTAGTCTATAGTCTAGTCTATAGTCCTAGTCTATAGTCTAGTCTATAGTCTAGTCTATAGTCTAGTCTAGTCTATAGTCTAGTCTATAGTCTAGTCTATAGTCTAGTCTATAGTCTAGTCTATAGTCTAGTCTATAGTCCTAGTCTATAGTCTAGTCTATAGTCTAGTCTATAGTCGAGTCTATAGTCTAGTCTCTATAGTTCTAGTCTATAGTCTAGTCTATAGTCTAGTCTATAGTCTAGTCTATAGTCTAGTCTATAGTCTAGTCTATAGTCTAGTCTATAGTCTAGTCTATAGTCTAGTCTATAGTCTAGTCTATAGTCTAGTCTATAGTCTAGTCTATAGTCTAGTCTATAGTCTAGTCTATAGTCTAGTCTATAGTCTAGTCTATAGTCCTAGTCTATAGTCTAGTCTATAGTCTAGTCTATAGTCTAGTCTATAGTCTAGTCTATAGTCTAGTCTATAGTCTAGTCTATAGTCTAGTCTATAGTCTAGTCTATAGTCTAGTCTATAGTCTAGTCTATAGTCCTAGTCCTATAGTCTAGTCTATAGTCTAGTCTATAGTCTAGTCTATAGTCTAGTCTATAGTCTAGTCTATATCTAGTCTATAGTCTAGTCTATAGTCTAGTCTATAGTCTAGTCTATAGTCTAGTCTATAGTCTAGTCTATAGTCTAGTCTATAGTCTAGTCTATAGTCTAGTCTATAGTCTAGTCTATAGTCTAGTCTATAGTCTAGTCTATAGTCTAGTCTATAGTCTAGTCTATAGTCTAGTCTATAGTCTAGTCTATAGTCTATAGTCTAGTCTATAGGTCTAGTCTCTAGTTAGTCTATAGTCTAGTCTATAGTCTAGTCTTAGTCTAGTCTATAGTCTAGTCTATAGTCTAGTCTTAGTCTTAGTCTATAGTCTAGTTATAGTCTAGTCTATAGTCTAGTCTATAGTCTAGTCTATAGTCTAGTATATAGTCTAGTCTATAGTCTAGTCTATAGTCTAGTCTATAGTCTAGTCTATAGTCTAGTCTATAGTCTAGTCTATAGTCTAGGTCTATAGTCTAGTCTATAGTCGTCATAGTCTAGTCTATAGTCTAGTCTATAGTCTGTCTATAGTCTAGTCTATAGTCTAGTCTATAGTCTAGTCTATAGTCTAGTCTATAGTCTAGTCTATAGTATAGTCTATAGTCTAGTCTATAGTCTAGTCTATAGTCTAGTCTATAGTCTAGTCTATAGTCTAGTCTATAGTTCTAGTCTATAGTCTAGTCTATAGTCTAGTCTATAGTCTAGTCTATAGTCTAGTCTATAGTCTAGTCTATAGTCTAGTCTATAGTCTAGTCTATAGTCTAGTCTATAGTCTAGTCTATAGTCTAGTCTATAGTCTAGTCTATAGTCTAGTCTATAGTCTAGTCTATAGTCTAGTCTATAGTCTAGTCTATAGTCTAGTCTATAGTCTAGTCTATAGTCTAGTTCTATAGTCTAGTCTATAGTCTAGTCTATAGTCTAGTCTATAGTCTAGTCTATAGTCTAGTCTATAGTCTAGTCTATAGTCTAGTCTATAGTCTAGTCTAGTCTAGTCTATAGTCTAGTCTATAGTCTAGTCTATAGTCTAGTCTATAGTCTAGTCTATAGTCTAGTCTATAGTCTAGTCTATAGTCTAGTCTATAGTCTAGTCTATAGTCTAGTCTATAGTCTAGTCTATAGTCTAGTCTAGTCTATAGTCTAGTCTATAGTCTAGTCTATAGTCTAGTCTATAGTCTAGTCTAGTCTATAGTCTAGTCTATAGTCTAGTCTATAGTCTAGTCTATAGTCTAGTCTATAGTCTAGTCTATAGTCTAGTCTATAGTCTAGTCTATAGTCTAGTCTATCGTCTAGTCTATCGTCTAGTCTATAGTCTAGTCTATAGTAGTCAATAGTCTAGTCTATAGTCTAGTCTATAGTCTAGTCTATAGTCTAGTCTATAGTCTAGTCTATCGTCATGTCTATAGTCTAGTCTATAGTCTAGTCTATAGTCTAGTCTATAGTCTAGTCTATAGTTTAGTCTATAGTCTAGTCTATAGTCTAGTCTACATTCTAGTCTACAGTCTAGTCTAGTCTATAGTCCAGTCTATAGTCTAGTCTATAGGTCTCGTCTAGTCAAATAAAAATAATATGTTTGATTGCTCTTAAATGTTTTACAAATTTGATGTTTTTTTAGTTTTAACACAAAGGCAACGGAAAGTGCCACGGAAAGCGGCCAAAGTCAGGTGGACACACCTCAGATACAAGAAAAGTCACAAGATTTATGGAAAAATTTAAAGTCCGAAAAGTAATTTTATATTTTATAACTTATGTTATCTAATTCCATGAGTCTGACTTGATAATTGAAATTTTTCTTTAATTTCAGAATCTTTCAAAAGTTTTGCCTAAAACTTTTAACTAAACTTAAACAGAGCTTTGATAATGCTATAGATTTTTGTTCTGATACCTACGAAATCTTTTTGCAATGTAATGAAATTCCTTTGGAAAAGCTTTTAAACGATTTCTGCTTAAACAACAAAGATATTGTGGAACGTATATTAAATAATGCGGAACTATATGAAGCACTTCAACGTTATTTTTACTACAAATATATAACAAATACAAAATTTGCCTTAAAATATCCGGTAAAAATTAAAGAAAATGTAAAAGAAACTCAAAGCGATAAAAGCAATACAACAATAGTGGAGGCAAATACGAAAACCCCTGTTAAAACAAATGCAGTTAAAATCACAACGCCTAAGGCATCTGAAAAACAAAATGATAATGTTAATCAAGCAACAAATTCGCCCGAAAAACCAATTAGCAATAATAATATCATAGAAAAGGCCAAACGTATATTCTTTCGCAATGTGGAAAAGACCAATACATTCTCCTATATTTTACGCACTTCATTTGGTCTTAAACAATTAATTTTGCGCACCATTTTATCACTAACATTTCAAGAATTCCTACAACTCACCAGTGTTTACGAAGGCAAACAATTATATAACGATAATCATTTAACCGAATGTATGTATCGTTATGTCTTTCGTACTCCCGTAGTGTGGCCAACAAATCTCTTTATAACACTTAAAGATTTGTGTGAATTTTTGCATATAAAGAATATACGTTTCACTGATTATTCCACCATGTTAAAGCATATTTCACCAAAACTACTACACTGGTCTGTTTTGTTGTCATGTACCAATATTTTGGATTGCGTTAAACTTGATTACGAAAAACGTACCGGAAAATTGCTAGATACTGATGATATTAAAACACTAAAACAGGAATGTATTGAGTATTATAATCGTTGTTGGAAATATGAAAAATGGCTGGGAGATGTACCGTTGGTTAATGAGGAGTTTTATAAAGATTATTTAAATAATAATGATCAAGGTAAAATTTTTGGACTTATAAAGGATTGATTTTTTACTTTTTTAAAACAACGTTCATATTAATTCTATGATAGTCATTTAATTAATTCTGATTACAAACTTTTAAAATTATTACATTCTTTTGTTGTCATTCATAGGTGATGCTACTATGTTGAATGAATCAGCTCTTCAAGAAGTTTGTATTGAAACCGAGGAAGTTTCAGATGATGTTGCAATGATCAATAATGACATAGGTAAGTTTTATTTATTTACCCATATAATTAGAGCAACATCCATTACGTCAAACAATCCTAATGGTGCTGGGCTCTTCATTGAGAGATATGTAATTAAATCCTCCTTCAGACTGACTAACAATTTAATGTTCTCCAGGGAGAAATATCTGCTATTAAGCAAGCTGAACTGGCTAAAGAAACAATAAAATGACAGCAAAGCTGCTATAAGTAGTAGTAGCCTAGTATATTGTCTAGTTTATATTCTAGTCTATAGTATACTCTATAGTCTAGTCTATAGTCTAGTCTATAGTCTAGTCTATAGTCTAGTCTGTAGTATAGTCTATAGTTTAGTCTGTAGTCTAGTCGATAGTCTTGCATATAATCTAGTCTATGGTCTAGTCTGTAGGCTAGTCTATAGTCTAGTCTATAGTCTAGTCTATAGTCTAGTCTATAGTCTAGTCTATAGTCTAGTCTATAGTCTAGTCTATAATCTAGTCTATAGTCTAATCTATAGTCTAGTCTACAGTCTAGTCTATAGTCTATTCTAGTCTATAGTCTAATATATCGTCTAGTCTATAGTCTAGTCTTTAGTCTAGTCTATAGTCTAGTCTATAGTCTAGTCTAGTCTAGTCTATAGTCTAGTCTATAGTCTAGTCTATAGTCTAGTCTATAGTCTAGTCTATAGTCTAGTCTATAGTCTAGTCTATAATCTAGTCTATAGTCTAATCTATAGTCTAGTCTACAGTCTAGTCTATAGTCTATTCTAGTCTATAGTCTAGTCTATAGTCTAGTCTATAGTCTGGTCTATAGTCTAGTCTATAGTCTAGTCTATAGTCTAGTCTATAGTCTAGTCTATAGTCTAGTCTATAGTCTAGTCTATAGTCTGGTCTATAGTCTAGTCTATAGTCTAGTCTAGTCTATAGTCTAGTCTATAGTCTAGTCTAGTCTATAGTCTAGTCTATAGTCTAGTCTGTAGTCTAGTCTATAGTCTAGTCTATAGTCTAGTTTACGGTCTAGTCTATAGTCTAGTCTATAGTCTAGTCTATAGTCTAGTCTATAGTCTAGTCTATAGTCTAGTCTATAGTCTAGTCTATAGTCTAGTCTGTAGTCTTGTCTATAGTCTTGTCTATAGTCTTGTCTATAGTCTGGTCTATAGTCTAGTCTATAGTCTAGTCTAGTCTATAGTCTAGTCTAGTCTATAGTCTAGTCTAGTCTAGTCTAGTCTAGTGTAGTCTATAGTCTAGTCTATAGTCTAGTCTGTAGTTTAGTCTAGTCTGTAGTCTAGTCTATAGTCTAATCCATAGTCTAGTCTATAGTCTGGTCTATAGTCTAGTCTATAGTCTAGTCTATAGTCTAGTCTATAGTCTGGTCTATAGTCTAGTCTATAGTCTAGTCTATAGTCTAGTCTATAGTCTAGTCTATAGTCTAGTCTATAGTCTAGTCTATAGTCTAGTCTATAGTCTAGTCTATAGTCTAATCTATAGTCTAGTCTACAGTCTAGTCTATAGTCTATTCTAGTCTATAGTCTAATTTATCGTCTAGTCTATAGTCTAGTCTATAGTCTAGTCTATAGTCTGGTCTATAGTCTAGTCTATAGTCTAGTCTATAGTCTAGTCTATAGTCTAGTCTATAGTCTAGTCTATAGTCTAGTCTATAGTCTAGTCTATAGTCTGGTCTATAGTCTAGTCTATAGTCTAGTCTATAGTCTAGTCTATAGTCTAGTCTATAGTCTAGTCTATAGTCTAGTCTATAGTCTAGTCTGTAGTCTAGTCTATAGTCTAGTCTATAGTCTAGTTTACAGTCTAGTCTATAGTCTAGTCTATAGTCTAGTCTGTAGTTTAGTCTAGTCTGTAGTCTAGTCTATAGTCTAGTCTATAGGATAATCTATAGTCTAGTCTATAGGATAATCTATAGTCTAGTCTATAGGCTAGTCTAGTCTATAGTGTAGTCTATAGTCTAGTCTATAGTCTAGTTTATAGTCTAGTCTATAGTCTAGTCTATAGTCTAGTCTATAGTCTAGTCTATAGTCTAGTTTACAGTCTAGTCTATAGTCTAGTCTATAGTCTAGTCTATAGTCTAGTCTAGTCTAGTCTAGTCTATAGTCTAGTCTATAGTCTAGTCTATAGTCTAGTCTAGTCTATAGTCTAGTCTATAGTCTAGTCTATAGTCTAGTCTATAGTCTAGTCTATAGTCTAGTCTATAGTCTAGTCTATAGTCTAGTCTATAGTCTAGTCTATAGTCTAGTCTGTAGTCTTGTCTATAGTCTTGTCTATAGTCTTGTCTATAGTCTGGTCTATAGTCTAGTCTATAGTCTAGTCTATAGTCTAGTCTATAGTCTAGTCTAGTCTAGTCTAGTCTATAGTCTAGTCTAGTCTATAGTCTAGTCTGTAGTTTAGTCTAGTCTGTAGTCTAGTCTATAGTCTAGTCTATAGTCTAGTCTATAGTCTAGTCTATAGTCTAGTCTATAGTCTAGTCTATAGTCTAGTCTATAGTCTTGTCTATAGTCTAGTTTATATTCTACTCTATGGTCTAGTATATAGTCTATTATATAGTTTAGTCTCTAGTCTAGTCTAATGTCTAGTCTATAGCCTAGTCTATAGTCTAGTCTGAAGGCTAGTTTATAGTCTAATCTGCAGACTGGTCTATAGGCCTTTATTAAGTTGGATTCGTAAGAGTTGCTTTCATGGTATTAAAGGAGATATCGCAGAAACTATTACATATCTATCGAGCGATAAACACAACCTTCTCGCCTTAAAAACTTCTCCCAGTAAACAGCATTTATGAAAATAAGCTTTTCCGTAAAAAGCTTCATAAACTACATTTGTGTTTTATATTGTTATTTCAGAAGAAGTAGAAGCAGTTGCAGAAATTGGAGGCGACAGACCAACGGAAATAAACACCTCTCAGAATCAATCTATAAAAGAATTTAATTGTGTTCTACTACCCAATACACAACAACAAATTGAAATGCTACCGGCAGAAGCCAGAGTTTCAAATGATCCCTTAAATAACAGTAACAATGCAAACACCTTAAATGTAACTTCCTCAACTAATAGTGAAAATTGTAAGAAACAAAAAGAAATTAATTTAAAACAAAAGAAATTTTTTAAAAAATTTTTAATTCTTACAGATGAAGTTGTATGCTTGGGTGAACTTATCGCTAATGATGTAAAAACTGAACCACTTGACAGTAAATTATTAACTAATTTACTATTCTATGAGGATGAGAACAGTAATATGCAATGCGAACCCTGTTTGCAAGAGATAGTTGATTTGGATGATTCGGCAGCAGAAGTTTGTGAAAATTTACCACCTTCTCAAATAGAATTTGGAGATGCCCTGCCAGAACCTCTGTTATCCACTGATTTGACAAATAATGAAAATAGTAATTCTCTTATGAATTTGGCACAACGTCTGCCAAGTTCGGCGGAAACTTATAATGAAAGCACGGGAACTCAACAGTTTGTGCAGGAACAGAATGCACCCGTTATACAAATGATAAATGTTAGCTTAAGAAGTAGCGGTGAGAATGGAAGTCAAGAGCAACAACAACAAGATATGGATTTAAAAGATAACACTGAAGAATTAGAAGTAATAAAAGTAAATACTCAAGAATTCGAATTATTACAAACATCTTTACAAAGTTTTGCGGTATATGCTGAAGCTCAACGTTTTCCTAGTACCTTTGAAGAAACTCCAACTTGTAGTGGTTCGTTAAGTGCAGAACCAACAACGTCAATTTTATTACAGCAGGAGCTAATAAAGACCTCAACTTTGGAAAATTCAGATCTTAATGCTCATTTGGTATCTAATGAAGTATCACAACCAACTGTATTGAATACTTTGCAAACTTCACAACAAGCCAATACTGCTCTACCCAAACGTAGGGGTTTTGAAAAAACTTATTCTGCAGTAAAAAGTTCCAAAAGTATAGCAACAGTTAGACCTATAAAAAATTCCAATTTTGTACCACAAATTCAACATAATACACGCCCTTTGCTAACCAAACCGGCCTATACAGCTAGCAGCAGTAGAAATAATAAAGCATTACCTTCTGAACAACTTTCAGAACAACCTCCCGGCACAAGTTTAACACCTATAGAGGAGGATAATTCAGTTACAAACGAACAATGTGTAGATACTCTGCCATCTGTGGGTACAATTATACAAATTTCTCAAGAATTCCAAAAAAATTGTTCAGTTTTCAATAACACTTCACTATTGAGACTTGTTGATCATAATTATCAAAAACAGAGTCAAACAAGTTTGCCATCATCATTACCCTCGACACAAACGCAAAACGAAGAACTAGCCAAAACTGTTGACAACGATGGAAATCAACAGCAGTTGCAGACCTGTTCTCTAACATTGACACAACCAGAAAATGAAGAAGCAGCAGGAAGTCAACAACAACAGCCTGTCCGCAGAACTACTAGGAGAAGTTCTATGTTAGGTTCACAGCCTACTAATCCACCAGAAAATACTGCCAGCTCTACCGACACCACTTCAAATCAAATAAATCCTCCTGTCTCTCCCACAAGAGCAACACGTAGTAGAAGTAGTTTATGCAAAGATTCCAAAGATAAGGTAAATAATCCCCTTCTAACTTCCCATACTAACAATCCAATAGCTACAATAGCACCTACCCCACATCAACAGCATCCCCATAAAATGGTGACCAAACTTTGTCTATATCGTCAAATTAATAAATTTCATTATTTCAAAGAACTTACTGCCCAACACATTTGCAAATATCTACTGCCCAGTCTGGAGTATGGTAAATCCTATACCGAGGCTACAATAGTTTGTGAAAATTTCAAAACTCGCATATCAAATCGTTCGATATCTGCTCTATTTCCCTTTTGGTCACAAAGTCTACAAAGAGATTTTCTTTTGGTTTTAAGTGATCTTAAAGAATTTCATTATGTCACGTTTGAAAGTGAACGCATGCAAAAACATGATGATTTAAGAGCTCGGATTTTATATTGGCTTTTAAATACGGCGCCCTCTTTTGCTCTATGCCAATTTGTTTGCGAAGCAAATAATACGGAATTTTCTTATTGTGAAACTATAAAGAATGCTAATAATCCGAGTTATAAGCGTAAACCTTTTAAGTGTCTGTCAAATGCTTTGAGTTCGAAAGTTTTGGATAAAATTAGAGAAAAGAAAAGGAATTCGAAGAAAGAAAATTAAAAGTCTAAAATCTAGACTATAGTTTAACCTAGTCTATAGTCTAGTCCATAGTCCTGTCTATAATCTAGTCTATAGTCTAGTCTATAGTGTAGTCTGGTCAATAGTCTAGCCTAGTCTATAGTCTAGCCTAGTTTATAGTCTAGCCTAGTCTATAGTCTAGCCTAGTATATAGTCTAGCCTAGTCTATAGTCTATAGTCTAGCCTAGTCTATAGTCTATAGTCTAGCCTAGTCTATAGTCTATAGTCTAGCCTAGTCTATAGTCTAGTCTATAGTCTAGTCTATAGTCTAGTCTATAGTCTATTCTATAGGCTAGTCTATAGTCTAGTCTATAGTCTAGTCTATAGTCTAGTCTATAGTCTAGTCTATAGTCTAGTCTATAGTCTAGTCTATAGTCTAGTCTATAGTCTAGTCAATAGGCTAGTATATAGTATAGTCTATAGTCTAGTCTATAGTCTAGTCTATTGTCTAGTCTATAGTCTAGTCTATAGTCTAGTCTATGGTCTAGTCTATAGTCTAGTCTATAGTCTAGTCTATAGTCTAGTCTATAGTCTAGTCTATATTCTAGTCTATAGTCTAGTGTATAGTCTAGTTTAGTCTATAGTCTAGTTTATAGTCTAGTCTATAGTCTAGTCTATAGTCTAGTCTATAGTCTAGTCTATAGTCTAGTCTATAGTCTAGTCTATAGTCTAGTCTATAGTCTAGTCTATAGTCTAGTCTATAGTCTAGTCTATAGTCTAGTCTATAGTCTAGTCTATAGTCTAGTCTATAGTCTAGTCTATAGTCTAGTCTATAGTCTAGTCTATAGTCTAGTCTATAGTCTAGTCTATAGTCTAGTCTATAGTCTAGTCTATAGTCTAGTCTATAGTCTAGTCTATAGTCTAGTCTATAGTCTAGTCTATAGTCTAGTCTATAGTCTAGTCTATAGTCTAGTCTATAGTCTAGTCTATAGTCTAGTCTATAGTCTAGTCTATAGTCTAGTCTATAGTCCAGTCTAGTCTATAGTCTAGTCTATAGTCTAGTCTATAGTCTAGTCTATAGTCTAGTCTATAGTCTAGTCTATAGTCTAGTCTATAGTCTAGTCTATAGTCTAGTCTATAGTCTAGTCTATAGTCTAGTCTATAGTCTAGTCTATAGTCTATAGTCTAGTCTAGTCTATAGTCTAGTCTATAGTCTAGTCTATAGTCTAGTCTATAGTCTAGTCTATAGTCTAGTCTATAGTCTAGTCTATAGTCTAGTCTATAGTCTAGTCTATAGTCTAGTCTATAGTCTAGTCTATAGTCTAGTCTATAGTCTAGTCTATAGTCTAGTCTACAGTCTAGTCTATAGTCTAGTCTATTCAAAAAGTTAAAGGTATGATTGATGATACTTAAATCTCACACTGGTCGCCATTTTAATGTTTGTTTTAATATTAGTTTTATTTTATTTATTTATAAACAAATTATGTATGAATGTATGTATATCAAACCCCATAATAACGGTAACAGTTTTAGCTATTATTTTAATTAATTGTTATTTATAAATTTATTTATAAAATTTAAAAAAAAAAAAGTTACAATAAAAACAATTAAACTAATGCAAATAAATTTTGTTGTTTTTTTATATCTTTTCAGAATATTTGTGTACGTATTAGAAAACTTTAAATTATACTTTTAAAGGTTTTATTGGAATTATATTGTTATTGTTTACCAATTCAATTAACAACATTTATTGAATTTAAAAAAAAAAGATGTGGTTTACTTGCTGCTTTAATTTCCTAACTCGTTTAATTGCTTTATTTTCGCAATAAAATGATGTTTAGAAAAAATGGTAATAATTACATATTATGCGCTATAAAAAAATGTTTAAGTGTTAATTTCTAAAGTATTTTTAGATTATGAATAATTTCTTTTCAACATTTTAAATTTAATCAGTTCGTAATCATTATGATTTATTGTAAAATACTTATTAAAACGTTTATATAAATAAATTTTGTTTGCTTGATTAATTAAAACTACTGTGTTGTAATTGTATATTTAAAATTAAAAGGTTTGTTTTAAATTATATTTGCCCGCTTTTTTTTTTGGAAAATCTCGCCAAAGAAAGTCAATATATAGAAGAATATATCAACATAAAACTAAATTTCCAAATTAAATCCACGTTTGTTCAAATTTGTTCCCTATTTTCGTTAAATTATTGAAATTTATTATTAATTTAAATTAAGATTTAATCGAACCGCCGCTAATATTTATAATTCCAACGCCGTTAATGTGAAATTGCTTCAACTCCGCTCTCTAATGTAGTGTAAACAAATCAGCTGTCAGCTGATAAGCCTGTCATAAGTCTTTTGTTTGTTTTTTTACTGCATCAACAACATTTGCAATTTTCTTCGTCTACTTTTCGCAACAACAATCAGGAGAAAAACAAAATTAATTAAATTTAAACTAAACATAATTTTTCTACAATTTTAATCAACAATGGAAAGTGAAAGTAATATTGTACAATTTGCCCCACTGCAATCGTTTGTTAGTCCTACATTTTGGCATAAATTGGCCGAAATTAAACTGGATTTGGATCGTTTGAGTGATAAGCCCAAACCTATTTATGGTTACTATACCAACCGTCATGCTAAATCGTGTCTAATGGAAGTAGATTATACCGCTTTTAATAGGTGAGTGAACTGTCTTTTAATGCAGTTAGTTGTAGCGGGTTATATTATCAGTTCTAATTTCTGATTAAAGCAATGGTAGTGTTACTATAGAAATAGTGGTGGTTGGTTGGGTGTGGGAGGGTGCGTCATTTTATGCAAAACAAAGAAAGTTATTTTGATTTGTCTGGATTGGTATGACCTTCAAAAGTACGTTGTTTTTTAAATTTGTAGGGAGGAGAATAAATTTATATTATTCTATGGGGATTTTAAATAATTTAAAATTTAAATCAAAATCAAAAGAACTGAAATCAAAATAAATTGGTCAATTAAGTGATGTTTTGGATTCTTAAGACTGCAAATGGTCTTCATTGACTTAGAAACCATTTAGTCGTAAATTAATTTCGACTAATATTCTATAAATAGAGTAATGTCTGGAATATTTTTTTAATTTTTCGAAAATTGTTCTATTAATAATTAATTTATTAAAATTATTTCTTAAATACGGAATTAATTTAAAATTTTCTATAAATGGAAATTTATTTTAGGGTCTGAATTTTCTTTAAATAGAATAGTAAAAAAACAAAATGCTCCAATATTTACTTATCGCAAATTTTATAAGAAAAATTTGTAGAATTCAAAAAATGTTATAAATGTGTAATTAATCGTAAATTTTCAATATAAAATCTTTCGAATATAACGCAAATTTTTAATCGAATCGAATTTTAGGAAATTGAAAATTTTCTAAAAATCAAACATTTATCAAAAAAATTTTATAAACTATAACAAGGAATTGACTAGAACTAGAAACTAGATCTAAACTAGAACATGCACTACAAATGAACTAGAACTTGAACTAGAACTGAACTAGAACAGAACTAGAACAGAACTAGAAAAGAACTAGAACAGAACTAGAACAGAACTAGAACAGAACTAGAACAGAACTAGAACAGAACTAGAACAGAACTAGAACAGAACTAGAACAGAACTAGAACAGAACTAGAACAGAACTAGAACAGAACTAGAACAGAACTAGAACAGAATTAGAACAGAACTAGAACTGAACTAGAACTAAACTAGAACAGAACTAGAACAGAACAGAACAGAACTAGAACAGAACAGAACTAGAACAGAACAGAACTAGAACAGAACTAGAACAGAACTAGAACAGAACTAGAACAGAACTAGAACTAAACTAGAACTAAACTAGAACTGAACTAGAACTGAACTAGAACTGAACTAGAACTGAACTAGAACTGAACTAGAACTGAACTAGAACTGAACTAGAGCTGAACTAGAACTGAACTAGAACTGAACTAGAACTGAACTTTAACTGAACTAGAACTGAATTACAACTAAACTAAACTAAACTAGAATTAAACTGGAACTGAACTAGATCTGAACAAGAACTGAACTAAAACAAAACTAGAACTGAACCAGAATTAAACTAGAACTGACATGTAACTAAACTATACATATAATATATGCATTTTCAGTGAGTTCACCCCACCGAAATATTGTTTCAAATCTCATGGCACTATCTACAACAAAAACACCATAGAAGAGTTTAAGAATTGCGATAAAAATGCCCTATTAAAAGAAGAAGGTATAAAACTTTTGAAACATTTTCAAAATGAAGCCACTGTAGAAGATCCAAGTTTATTGGCAAGATTTTTTATACTTTCATTTGCGGTAAGTTGTAGGTTTTAAAATATTTACACCTTATTTTATGAATATTTCTTCTAATTAAAGGATCTTAAAAACCATAGCTATTACTATTGGTTTGCATTTCCCTGTCCTTTGACTACCACTTTGACATTGGAAAAACCAGCATCAAAATTGGTAGATTCACGCGAGAAATTTGATAATATACAAGAGGCCATAAAATTATGTCCCAATGGTATATTGCAAAATTTGTTTGTATTGCAAGCCTCGGCTACAAATAAGAAATTTTATACTCTAAAAGAATTCATTGATAACTACATAACTTTAGAGAAATTATCTTTGGAAGAAACTTATTTTTGTTTCCCAGATAACAGTGAGTTTGTGCAACCATCTTGGCTGATGAGAGTATATGCAGCATTTATATATTACAAGTGGTAAGTTTTCTAATTTTATAAATATGATAAAATCTAATTACATTCTTATTTCTTTTTAAGTTCTTTCTTAGTGGGTAATACCATTAAATTCTTGGGTTTGCGTTATGGCAATCACATGAATATTGGTTTCAGTTTAATATGGCATATTAAACAATCTGAAATATTGGACCTTAAAGAAATGGACCAAATAAAGTTTGTAGGCTGGGAATTGAACAAAAATCAAAAGCCCCAACCTCGTATGGTTTCAATGCGAGATAGCATGGATCCCCAAGTGTAAGTTTCTTTTTGGAATATGTTAAATAATTTGTATTAATCTTTTTTTAATTTATTTGAAATAGTTTAACCGATAATTCCATTGATTTAAATTTGAAATTAATGAAATGGCGTTTATTACCCGATTTAAATATGGATGTTATTAAAAATACCAAATGTTTATTATTTGGTGCTGGTACTTTGGGTTGTGCTGTGGCCAGAATGTTATTGGTAAGTTTGTTAGGGATTTAGGGAGAATTTTATTTTGTTATTAACGTTTCTTGTGTCTATAGGGTTGGGGTTTTAAGTATATATCTTTTGTGGATAATGGCAAGGTTAGTTTGGCCAATCCTGTGCGTCAATATCTTTACACATTTGAGGATGCTGTTAAGGGCAATGTTTTGAAAGCTGATGCTGCTGCTGATTGTTTAAGGAAAATAAATCCATCCACTGTAAGTTTTAGTAATAATGATATATAGAAAGTTCTATTAATTCTCATAAAATTTGGTTTAGCTTAATTACTTTTGGATTGAGATCAGTTCTAGTTCAGTCCTAATTCAGTTCTAGTTCAGTTTTAGTTCAAATCTTGTTCAGCTCTAGTTCAGTTCTAGTTCAGTTCTATTTCAATTCTAGTTCAGTTCTAGTTCAGATATCGTTCCGTTCTAGATCAGTTCTAGTTTAGTTCTAGTTCAGTTCTAGTTCAGTTCTAGTTCAGTTCTAGTTCAGTTCTAGTTCAGTTCTAGTTCAGTTCTAGTTCAGTTCTAGTTCAGTTCTAGTTCAGTTCTAGTTCAGTTCTAGTTCAGTTCTAGTTCAGTTCTAGTTCAGTTCTAGTTCAGTTCTAGTTCAGTTCTAGTTCAGTTCTAGTTCAGTTCTAGTTCAGTTCTAGTTCAGTTCTAGTTCAGTTCTAGTTCAGTTCTAGTTCAGTTCTAGTTCAGTTCTAGTTCAGTTTAGTTCAGTTCTAGTTCAGTTCAGTTCTAGTCAGTCTAGTTTCAGTCTAGTCAGTCCTAGTTCGGTTCTAGTTCAGTTCTAGTTCAGTTCTAGTTCAGTTCTAGTTCAGTTCTAGTTCAGTTCTAGTTCAGTTCTAGATCAGTTCTAGTTCAGTTCTAGTTCAGTTCCAGTTCAGTTCTAGTTCAGTTCTAGTTCAGTTCTAGTTCAGTTCTAGTTCAGTTCTAGTTCAGTTCTAGTTCAGTTCTAGTTCAGTTCTAGTTCAGTTCTAGTTCAGTTCTAGCTCAGTTCTAGTTCAGTTCTAGTTCAGTTCTAGTTCAGTTCTAGTTCAGTTCTAGTTCAGTTCTAGTTCAGTTCTAGTTCAGTTCTAGTTCAGTTCTAGTTCAGTTCTAGTACAGTTCTAGTTCAGTTCTAGTTCAAGTTCAGTTCTAGTACAGTTCTAGTTCAGTTCTAGTTCAGTTCTGGTTCATTTCTAAATCAAACATAATATTACAGGTTTCAGCTGGTCACGTTATGCATATACCAATGCCTGGTCACACAGTTGGTGACTCTCTGAAGCAGCAAACAGAGAAAGATCTTAATAAACTGCAAGAGCTGGTAAAAGAACATGATGTTATATTTTTATTAACAGACTCTCGAGAAAGTCGTTGGTTGCCCACTCTATTGGGAACTGCACATGAAAAGGTAAATTTTTCATAAACATCAATTCAACAGCCTAATCATAATTCATTAAAAAACTAAATTTATGATTAAAATTTATTTCCCTATACCCTCCCTTACAGATTGTCATCAATTCTGCTTTAGGTTTTGACAGTTACTTAATACAACGTCATGGATCCGCTAGAAAGCCGGGCAATGATGCAAGCATTGCTCAAATGGAAATCGATCATTTAAAATGCATTCCAGGTCATCAATTGGGTTGCTATTTCTGTAATGATGTTACGGCACCAGGAAATGTAAGTTTTTTTTATTTTCATTTATTATTTTCTTTCTTTATAAAGAAAATCTACTTAACTACAAAAACATTTATTAAAATAAGAATTACTTAAAAAGAAGAAAGAAAAATTTAGGCACATTCATAGTCAAATCTAGAATACTTTTCGAAACTTGTGCATAAGGCATCACCCATTTGTATGTGATCCACACCGGTGACATGCATATGCAGACCATTAATGCAGGTCACCTTAAAACCAACAAGATTTTGTAACATATTTGGCTGGCGATAGGCATAACTGCAGAAATTGTAACCATCCACGGCAGTTAAGAATTCCTTTTCCGTAAAGGCAATGGCAAGTTTAAATTGTTGATTGAAGACAAATGGAAAACCGCCATGGCGCTCCTCCGGACCAAATCTATGAAAAATTAGCAGAAATATATTAACGTATAAACCTTTTATTTAATGGAAACAAAAAACTTACTTGAAATTTTTATCATGACTATTACGCACCACTGCCTTCTCATCAAACCTTACACTAAAATGGAAATCTTCACGTTTACTATCCGATTCCATAAACTTAATAATAAATTGTCCCTTTTTATTATCAAAGCAACGTGCTGTTATTACAATAACATGTCCAGGACTATATAATATGGGAGCATCATTACTAAAGGCTTTAAAATAATCCGATGTGTGGATAGCAGGCCAAGGATTTGGAAATACTGTACGATGATCTATTTGTTTTATAACTTGTATTTGATCGCGTAATTCTAGTGATCTTAAAGATTCCAGTGGCAAACGATATTTAAATGTACAAAACGGGCGACTATTAATAGAAATGTGGAATTTTTCTTCACATGCCAAAATATAGATCATGAAAAAGTCTCCTGATGTTATGGGATTTGGCAAGGAGTAATTGTCAATATTTTTTATTTCCTCTTCACCCCACACCCCGTTGATGCGTGCATTTCGCACTATACAATCGTCTCGAAAATACACTGTAAATCGTAAACCAATGTCAGCATTAGGATTAATGACAGATTTGGCGGTGGCTAAAGTTAAATTGAATCTGAAATTAAGAGTAAAGGATTTTTTTTTAAATTTTTTAAGATTTTTTTAAAAATTATAGAGTTTAAGTTCGGAAATATTTAAAAATGCGTTCATTAATTCACATTAAAAATACTTTAAAATTCACAGAAATTTTAAAATTTATCTGAATTAAACTTTTAAAACTAAACTAGAACTGAATTAAAATTTTAGAACTGAACTAGAATTGAACTAGAACTGAACTAGAACTGAACTAGAACTGAACTAGAACTGAACTAGAACTGAACTAGAACTGAACTGAACTAGAACTGAACTAGAACTGAACTAGAACTGAACTAGAACTGAACTAGAACTGAACTAGAACTGAACTAGAACTGAACTAGAACTGAACTAGAACTGAACTAGAACTGAACTAGAACTGAACTAGAACTGAACTAGAACTGAACTAGAACTGAACTAGAACTGAACTAGAACTGAACTAGAACTGAACTAGAACTGAACTAGAACTGAACTAACTGAACTAGAACTGAACTAGAACTGAACTAGAACTGAACTAGAACTGAACTAGAACTGAACTAGAACTGAACATAACGAACTAGAACCTAGAACTGAACTAGAACTGAACATAACTGACTACGACTGAACTAGAACTGAACTAGAACTGAACTAGAACTGAACTAGAACTTGAACTAGAAACTGAACTAGAACTTGAACTAGAACTGACTAGAACTTGAACTAGAACTGAACTAGACTGAACTAGAACTGAACTAGAACTGAACGAGAACTGAACTAGAACTGAACTAGAACTGAACTAGAACTAGAAACTAGAACTGAACGAAACTGAACTAGAACTGAACTAGAACTGAACTATAACTGAAACTAGTAACTTGAACTAGAACTGAACTAGAACTGAACTAGAAACTGAACTAGAACTGAACGAACTAGAACTGGAACTAGAAACTGAAACTAGAAACGGAACTAGAACTGAACTAGAACTGAACTAGAACTGAACTAGAAGACTGAACTAGAACTGAACTAGAACTGAACTAGAACTGAACTAGAAACGGAAGCTAGAACTGAACAGAACTGAACTAGAACTGAACTAGAACTGAACTAGAACTGAACTAGAACTGAACTAGAACTGAACTAGAACTGAACTAGAACTGAACTAGAACTGAACTAGAACTGAACTAGAACTGAACTAGAACTGAACTAGAACTGAACTAGAACTGAAAAGAAGAACTGAACTAGAACTAGAACTGAACTAGAACTGAACTAGACTGAACTAGAACTAGAACTGAACTAGAACTGAACTAGAACTGAACTAGAACTTAACTAGAACTGAACTAGAACTCAACTAGAAATGAACTAAAACTGAACTAGAACTCAACTAGAAATGAACTAAAACTGAACTAGAACTGAACTAGAACTGAACTAGAATTGAACTAGAACTGAACTAGAACTGAACTAGAACTAGAACTGAACTAGAACTAGAACTGAACTAGAACTGAACTAGAACTGAACTAGAACTGAACTAGAACTGAACTAGAACTGAACTAGAACTGAACTAGAACTGAACTAGAACTGAACTAGAACTGAACTAGAACTGAACTAGAACTGAACTAGAACTGAACTAGAACTGAACTAAACTCAACTAGAACATGAACTAATACTGAACTAGAACTGAACTAGAACTGAACTAGAACTGAACTAGTACTGAACTAGAACTGAACTAGAACTAGAACTGAACTAGAACTGAACTAGAACTGAACTAGAACTGAACTAGAACTGAACTAGAACTGAACTAGAACTGAACTAGAACTGAACTAGAACTGAACTAGAACTGAACTAGAACTGAACTAGAACTGAACTAGAACTGAACTAGAACTGAACTAGAACTGAACTAGAACTGAACTAGAACTGAACTAGAACTGAACTAGAACTGAACTAGAACTGAACTAGAACTGAACTAGAACTGAACTAGAACTGAACTAGAACTGAACTAGAACTGAACTAGAACTGAACTAGAACTGAACTAGAACTGAACTAGAACTGAACTAGAACTGAACTAGAACTGAACTAGAACTGAACTAGAACTAACTAGAACTGAACTAGAACTTAACTAGAACTGAACTAGAACTGAACTAGAACTTAACTAGAACTGAACTAGAACTAGAACTAGAACTGAACTAAACTAGAACTAAACTTCAAAACCATTTTTTCATTAATTAATATTCTCCTGAGGAAACTGTCGTTGGATGCTATATAATTAAAAAATATAATATAAAACCGATATTTGTTTGTTTTCCATTAAATTAACTAATATATTACATTTCGAAATTAGCTCTTATTCAATTTTATTGCCGTACTCCATTTTTATGTATGTATTTTGTACGCTTTTCAAATTAGTGCAATTTTACACTAATCAACTAAAAGGGGAACTTACCAGCAATGAGAACATTTTAAAATTACTCACTACAAATACCTATTGATAACAAATTCTTATCAATTATTTTCTATGTCTTTTATATTTGTTCGAACTTACCGAGAAGCTCCATCGATAGTTTTTGCAACAATTTCCAAGGCATGTCCAAATTCTAAATGATGGGCCAAATTACCAGCAAATTCTGTCAACATTATTAATTTCTGTTTTCTTAATATTCACTATTATTTATTATAATAAATTCAGACAAAGTTATTTTTTTTACTTATATTGTTGTTGTCTTAACAATTGATGTATTAATTCATTCAATATTAAATTTACACTTTCCACACAAATTGATTTTCAAAATATAGTATAATTGAACTTGCTACTGATCAACCGGCACAATACTTTAACCTCCCGCTCGCGCTCACTTTTTTATACGAATCGATATTAAACACCAATGTCTGGAATACAACTAAATTCAGAATTTTAAAGTAAAGAAATATTTTTGTTTTTAGTTTTTCTTTCTTCAAATGTTGTTGTTTGTATGTTGTCTTACTAATTCCGTAAACCTCTAGGTCCGTCCGTCCGTCTATCAATATTAAATATTTGTTGTACTATTATTATTATTATTTTTGTTGTTGGCGTGCCTTATCAGTTAGCTCTACTAGAATAAACAGTTGAAATTTTATCTAATCGTTTCATGTCACAAAAAAGGGAAAAAACAAAAAAAAGTTGTATATTAAACTTTATATGAGTGTTTACACATCAATAGAGAGAAATAAAAAGAGAGTTAACTAAACAAATAATTAACTATTTAAATTTTGTTATAATTATTGTTATAAAATTTTTAATAATTAATAAAATTTTAGAAGTTTAGGTTCTCAATTGTTTGGAGAAACTTTTTATTTTTTGTATAATTAAACTGTACAAGATTTCACGAAATGTAAAGATGTTTTTGTTGAATGCAGTTTCATTTGCATTCATTTTAATACTAAGTCAGGAAATTTAGTTTTTTTAACACGCTGTTTAATATACAATTTTTCATTCGATACACTATTCTTAAGAGTTTTTAAACTCTCTTATGCTCTCTTTCATCACTTGCTTCAATGATCTGATCAACTTATTCAGAGTTGTCCTAACGAAAAGTTTTGTGTGGGATAGATAGATAGATAGATAGATAGATAGATAGATAGATAGATAGATAGATAGATAGATAGATAGATAGATAGATAGATAGATAGATAGATAGATAGATAGATAGATAGATAGATAGATAGATAGATAGATAGATAGATAGATAGATAGATAGATAGATAGATAGATAGATAGATAGATAGATAGATAGATAGATAGATAGATAGATAGATAGATAGATAGATAGATAGATAGATAGATAGATAGATAGATAGATAGATAGATAGATAGATAGATAGATAGATAGATAGATAGATAGATAGATAGATAGATAGATAGATAGATAGATAGATAGATATTTAGATAGATAGATAGATAGATAGATAGATAGATAGATAGATAGATAGATAGATAGATAGATAGATAGATAGATAGATAGATAGATAGATAGATAGATAGATAGATAGATAGATAGATAGATAGATAGATAGATAGATAGATAGATAGATAGATAGATAGATAGAACTTAACTAAAACTGAACTAGAACGGACCTAGAACCGAACTAGAAACTAAAACGAAACTAGAACAGAACTAGACAGAACAAGAACTGAACTAGAACTGAACTAGATCTGAACTAGAACTGAACTAGAACCTGAACTAGAACTGAACTAGAACTGAACTAGAACTGAACTAGAACTGAACTAGAACTGAACTAGACGAACTAGAACGAACTAGAACTGAACTAGAACTGAACTAGAACTGAACTAGAACTGAACTAGAACTGAACTAGAACTGAACTAGAACTGAACTAGAACTGACTAGAACTGAACTAGAACTGACCTAGAACTGAACTAGAACTGAACTAGAACTGAACTAGAACTGAACTAGAAACTGAACTAGAACTGAACTAGAATGAACTAGAACTGAACTAGAACTGAACTAGAACTGAACTAGAACTGAACTAGAACTGAATCTAGAACTGAACTAGAACTGAACTAGAACTGAACTAGAACTGAACTAGAACTGAACTAGAACTGAACTGAACTGACTAGAACTGAACTAGAAACTGAACTAGAAACTGAACTAGAACTGAACTAGAACTGAACTAGAACTGAACTAGAACTGAACTAGAACTGAACTAGAACTGAACTAGAACTGAACTAGAACTGAACTAGAACTGAACTAGAACTGAACTAGAACTGAACTAGAACTGAACTAGAACTGAACTAGAACTGAACTAGAACTGAACTAGAACTGAACTAGAACTGAACTAGAACTGAACTAGAACTGAACTAGAACTGAACTAGAACTGAACTAGAACTGAACTAGAACTGAACTAGAACTGAACTAGAACTGAACTAGAACTGAACTAGAACTGAACTAGAACTGAACTAGATCTGAACTAGAACTTGAACTAGAACTGAACTAGAACTGAACTAGAACTGAACTAGAACTGAACTAGAACTGAACTAGAACTGAACTAGAACTGAACTAGAACTGAACTAGAACTGAACTAGAACTGAACTAGAACTTAACTAGAACTGAACTAGACTACTAGAACTGAACTAGATCTGAACTAGAACTGAACTAGAACTGAACTAGAACAGAACTATAACAGAACCAGAACAAAACTAGAACAGATCTAGAACAGAACTAAAACAGATCTAGAACAGAACTAGAACAGAAATAGAACAGAAATAGAACAGAACTAGAACAGAACTAGAATAGAACTAGAATAGAACTAGAACAGAACTAGAACAGAACCAGAACAGAACTAGAACAGAACCAGAACAGAACTAGAACAGAACTAGAACAGAACTAGAACAGAACTAGAACAGAACTAGAACAGAACTAGAACAGAACTAGAACAGAACTAGAATAGAACTAGAATAGAACTAGAACAGAACTAGAACTGAATTGTCGTTTCATTCTGATCGCAAGTGTAAATTTTTAGTAAAAGATTAATTAATACTTAAAATACAATAACAAAAACGAATACCAATTCCACTTTATAATTGCTTTCATTCTGAAAAAGTTGTGGTGTTAATTTTTTAGCAAATACTAAAATAATAACATTTTTGATAGCTGTGAAGTTCCGCCTGGAACGCTTACGGCTCTAGACTAGAATGTGTAAAAAGTCTATTTAAACTTTAATTTAAGGCGCCACTTATTGCACAACTCAGTTTTTTTTCCATATGTCTGACATTTGTTTACATTAACTTTTGGACTCTTTTCCGACACAAAACAGACATTAAAAAAAGTTTCACTCATTATACTTAATAAAAGCTTTAGCCATAGAGTAATACATAGAGTAGAAATTGCGATGTAAATGTTAAAAATCTATGTAAATAATAATGAAATTGAAACTTTTCTAAACTTATTTTAAAATTTCTCAACATTCTCAACAGTCACTTAAAGATCGTACTCTGGATCAACAATGTACCGTTACGCGACCTGGTGTTTCAAATATAGCCGCCAGTTATGCTGTGGAACTGCTAGTATCTCTACTACATCATCCCCTTAAAGAAATGGCACCAGCTTATTATGCTGCTAGTGGTAGTTTGAAATCTAACTCAGCAGTTTCAGATAAAACTCCCGAAGGTATAATGGGTATTTTACCACATTCCATTAGGGGTATGCTGAGTAACTTTGAGAATATACTACCAGCATCTGAGAAATTTTTACAATGTATAGCGTGCTCAGAGGTATGTTTTAGCTTGATTTTGGGGTACATCTAAATTTTTAAATTGATTTTTTTTATCTACAGAAAGTAGTGAATGCCTACCGCAGCCAAGGCAATGAGTTTCTGTTTAAAGTATTTGAATCTGCTAAATATTTGGAAGATTTAACTGGTATTTCTGAATATAAGGATTTAAATAATGAGGTTAGTTTTTGATATTATCTTTTAAATTTTTTTATTTGATTTGATTTCTATTTTTTTATAGATTATCGATTTCAACGATTCTGATTTAGAATTATCGGATGACTAAAGTCTAGTAATTGTGTAATTGGACTGGACATAAAACCTATAAATTAAAACAGCATTTATGTATTAAACAAAACATTCATAATAACTCATACATATTTAAATGAATGACTCTCTATATTAGCTTTTTATGTTAAAAATGTGGCTTTTAATATTTTGATTAAAAACCTAATAAACAGCTTGTTTTGTTCAATATGTGTCATATGAAAAGAAAAACGACTTTTCCAATATATATTTTACTCAAATAAATAAAAAATATGCAGAATTTTGTCTATTAATGAAATTACAAAAAAATATATTTAAAAAAATCTTTTACATCTCCCCGACGGGGAATTGAACCCCGGTCTCCCGCGTGACAGGCGGGGATACTGACCACTATACTATCGAGGATGTTGGAATACAACAGCTTAATTTTAAATAAAAACATTTGTTGCTTACTTTTATGTACTTTTATAGTATTGTATAAAGAAAAGCTTTTTTTCATAAAAGCAATGCTTTTCAAACTGTATACAGTGAGCAAAATTTATAAAAGTGTAATTCACCTTTTACTATTGAGTTTACGTAGGCTGACTTCCAAAACGTCATTTGCTTTGTATACGAACAAAGTATAGTCTCAACTAACATTAATATTTTTGTAAAAGTTCCGCGGTTTGTAAAAAAAAACTTATTTGTTTAAAAAAACGTACTTCTATACTTGCTGCCTCCTCCAAATAATCAAAGAATATTCCTTCTGTTGACCACTTTTTGTTTGGTTTTTCACTTTTTAATTTATTTGGAATAATTTTCTATTGTTTTAGTTTCATTTATTTTGTTGTTTACAAATGACAGCTGTTTTAATGAGAGAATTGCAAATGCAATAACGCACCAAAAAAACTATACCTTTTGAGTATTGGATGAATGCAATGGTGTGACAAATGCAACAGTGTGTGTTTTGTTGTTGGATTGCAATAAAAAGCTATGAAATTTTGCATTTGCTCTTTTGCAAGACCATTTGCACTAAACACTGAACTCCGCTAGTGTTTCATAACGCCGCAGTACAAAACATTAACAATGCATACTGTTTCAAAACGTCATCGACAAGTATTATAAACGCAGTAAAATGGCAATCAGCGCATCAGTTTTAAAGTTGATGCTTGTTGAAATTATTTGCTAAAACAACACAAACAGCTGACTTACTCAAAACAATACTTTGCATCTTCTATATTTTAGAACGTGAAAATAAACAAAGCATTGTTGCAATGTTTTGAAACTTTACATGTGTACTAGTGTTTAAACTTTGTATTGGTACGTTTTGGAAGTATATAGAATTATAATTTATTAATTATATTATAATATGTAATTCCAATTAATGCACATAACCTGCAATTATCACCAGCGTAGTCGTCAACAACACTTTTTACCACCCTGGCATCGTGGTCGACTGCAATCACGCACAGATTGCAAAGTCGAAACAAAGTCCTCAAAGCGCTAGCCGCCAACACTTGGGTTATGGATAAAGAAACCTTGTTAGCAACATATAAAATGATTAGTCGGTCAGTGGTTAATTATACTGCTGCAGTGTGATCACCTTCGCTCACTTATACCCAGTGGAGAAACATTCAAAGCTGCCAAAATGCCGCCC